CATATGATCCAGCAATTCCACAAGTCGGTGTATACCCAAGAGAAATGAAAACACATGTCCACAAAAAACTTGCACACAAATGTTCAAAGCAGCATTATACCCAATAGCCCAGAGTGGAAACGACCCAAATGTCCATCAACGGATGAATGGGTAAGTAAAATGTGGTATGTCCGTACAGTGGAGCGTTACTCGGCAATAGAAAGGAACAAAAGTACTGATACATGCTGTGCTATGGTGGGGACTGAATGTTTGTGTCCCTCCCGAAATTCATGTTGAAACCTAATCCCCAAGGCAATAGTAGTAAGAAGTAGGGAGTTCAGAGGGTGATCAGGCCATGAGGATGGAGCCCTCATGAGTGGGACCCATGTTCTTATGAGGGACCCAGAGACTCTCGCCACCTTCCACCATGGAGGACACAGCAAGAATGAACCATCTATGAAGCAAAGAGAGAGCCCTCACGTGACACCAAATCTGCTGGCGCCTTGATCTTGGACTTCCCCAGCCTCTAGAATTATGAGAAATAAATTTCTATTGTTCATAAGTCACCTAGTCTAAGGTATTTTGTCACAGCAGCCTGAATGAACTAAAACATACTACATGGATGAACCTCGAAAACATGCTAAGCGAATGAAGCCAATCACAAAAGACCCCCCCCCAATGTATGATTCCATTTATAGGAAATATTCAGAGCAGGCAAATCTGTAGAGATGGAAAGTGGATTCGTGGTTGCCTAGGGCTGGGATGGCTGGGAGGACACGGGGAGTGACTGCTAACGGGTATGAGTTTCTTTTTGAGATGATTAAAAAAATGTTCTAAAATTGATTATAGTGATGGTCGCACAACTCTGAATACACTAAAAGCCTTTGCATGAGACGCTTTAAATAGTTGAATTGTGTTGGCATGTGGATTATATCTTCATATACTTATGAAAAAAGTAAAAAATATATATTTTTTAAGAGAGAATGAATGAAACAGCCAAGATGCATACCCTAACAGAGCTAGTTTGGACTAGCAACACTAAAGCCAGAGAGTAGTGACACACTGTGATGCCTTTGGTATACTGACATGAACTCACTTTCCAAGTAGAATCACATCTCTAGGAAAAGTGTCTTTTAAGAATAAGAATAAAATAAAGGCATTGGTCTGCCGAGTAGAGCTCAGCAAAATTCAGAGGATTGATATCACACAGTGCACTTTTCTGATCACAATATAATTCATAATCAATAACAAAATTGTACCTAAAATTCCCCATACTTTTAGAAATGAAAAAGTTTAATATAAAATGAAATATGCTAACGGAAGTATTGAGATCAGGAAGTGTTTGAGAGTGAATGATAAAAAATATTTCATGTTAGACCTGGAGGAATGTTGCTGAAGCAGTCATTAGAGGGAAAATTTTAGCCAGTAAGTATTTACACTAAAGAAGAAATTCTTTTTAAATTAGTGAGCCGCATGCAAAGAAAGGGAAAAGAAGGGCATCCTCAAAATGAGAACAGAAATTGATGAAATAGAGAATAAAGAAATAACGCAAAGGGTTAATAAGGACAAAAATCGGTTCTTTGAAAAGACCAGAAAAACAAGTAAACACACACTCCAGCAAAATTGATCAAGACAAGAGAGGAGGACCAAGCATACAGTTCTAAGACTGAATGGAGATGCAGAAATACAGATATAGCAGAGCTCGAGTTGATAAGAGGACATTATAAATATCTTTACGACTATAAATTGATAAGTTGCTAGAGCAATATAGTTTATCGACACTGACTCAGGAAGAAATGATGAAACTCAGGAAGAAATGACTGGTTTTAAACCCATTAAAGGAATTGAAACAGGAGATAAAAATCTCAAGGAAATACCAAGCCCAGACAATGCAACAGATAAGTTTTACCAATTGTTCAAGGAGGAAATAATTCCAATATTGCACAAACTCTTCCAAGGAATAGAGAGGAAGGGAACACGCCTTAACTAATTTATTGAAACTCAAACCGATTTGTACAAGCAGGATACCAAAAACAGGCAAGAAAGGTACAAGAAAGGAGAAATACTGATCAATTTCACTCATGAATATAGCAGTAAAAATGCTAAGCAAAACATTAGCAAGCAGAATCAAAGTATGGATAGGCTTACTTGTTTTGATTGCGTTTCACTGTATTGCTTTGCAGATGTGGTTTTACAAATGGAAGGTTTGTGGCAACCCTGAGTTGACCAAGTCTATCGGCACCATTTTTCCAACAGCATGTGCTTACTTTATGTCTCTTTGTCACATTTTAGTAATTCTCAGTAGTATTTCAAGCTTTTTATTGTTATTATATCTCTTATGGTGATCTGTGATCAGTGATCTTTGATGTTACTATTGTAATTGTTTTGGAGCACCTCAAACCGGGTGCATGTAAGACAGTGAACTTAATCGATCGCTGTGCGTGTTCTGACTGCTCCACCAACTGGCTGTTCCCCTGTCTCTCTCCCTCTCCTCAGGCCTCCCTATTCCCTGAGACACAACAATATTGAAATTAGGCCTTTTTTTTTTTTTTTTTGAGACAGAGTCTCGCTCTGTTGCCCGGGCTAGAGTGCCATTGCGTCAGCCTAGCTCACACCAACCTCCAACTCCTGGGCTCAAGCGATCCTCCTGCCTCAGCCTCCCAAGTAGCTGGGACTACAGGCATGCGCCACCATGCCCGGCTAATTTTTTTTTTTTTTAATTTTCAGTAGAGACGGGGGTCTTGCTCTTGCTCAGGGTGGTCTCAAACTCCTGACCTCAAGTGATCCTCTTGCCTTGGCCTCCCAGAGGGCTAAGATGACATGCATGAGCCACTGCGCCTGGTGAAATTAGGCCTATTGATAACCCTAGAATGGCCTCTGAATGTTCAAGAACTAGGACGATTTGTACATCTCTTACTTTAAATCAAAAGCTAGAAATGATTAAGCCTGGTGAGGAAGGCATGTTGAAAGCCGAGGCAGGCTGCAATCTGAGCCTCTTGTGCCAAGTGGCTAAATTGTGAAAAAGGAAAAGTTCTTGAGGGAAACTAAAAGTGCTACTCCAGTGAACACACGAATGATAAGAAAGCAAAACAGCCTTATTGCTGATACGGAGAGAGCTTTAGTGATCTGGATGGAAGATCAAACCAGCCACAACGGTCCCTTTGGCCTGATCCAGAGCAAGGTCTAAACTCTATTTGATTTTGTGAAGGCTGAAAGAGGTGAGGAAGCCGCAGAAGAAGAAGTTTGAAGGTAGCAGAGGTTGGTTCACAAGGTTTAAGGGAGGGAGCTGTTTCCATAACATAAAAGTGCAAAGTAAAGCAGCAGGAGCTGATGGAGAAGCTGCAGCCAGTTACTCAGAAGATCTAGCCAAGACCATTGCTGAAGGTGGCCACACTGAACATCAGATCTTCAATGTAAATGAAATAGCCTTCCATTGGAAGAAGATGCCATCTAGGACTTTCATAGCTAGAGAGGAAAAAAATCAATGCCTGGCTTCAAAGCTTCAAGGGACAGCCAGACTCTTGTTAGAGGCTAATGCAGCTGGTGACTTTAAGTTGAAGCCAGTGTTTATTTACCATTCTGAAAATCCTAGGGCCCTCAAGAATTATGCTAAATCTACTCTGCCTGTGCTCTATCAATGGCAGGAACTACTAAGCCTGGATGACAGCACACCTGTTTACAGCATGGTTTACTGAGTATTTAAGCCCACTGTTGAGACCTACTGCTCAGGGATAAAAAGATTCCTTGCAAAATATCACTGCTCATTGACAATGCACCTGGTCACCCAAGAACTCTGAAGGAGCTGTACAAGGAGATTGATATTGTTTTTATGCCTGATAATGTAACATCCATTCTACAGCCCATGGATCAAGGAGTAATTTCAACTTTCAAGTCTCATTATTTGAAAAATACATTTTGTAAGGCTATAGCTGCCATGGATAGTGATTCCTCTGATGGATCTGGGTAAAATAAATTGAAAACCTGGTGGAAAGGATTTGCCATTCTAGATGCCACTAAGAAAGAACATTCTTGATTCAAAAATCACTAACAGGAGTTTGGAAGAAGTTGATTCCAGCCCTGGTGGATGGCTTTGAGGGGTGCATGACTTCAGGGGAGGAAGGACCTGCAGCTGTGGTAGAAACAGCAAGAGCACAAGAATCACAAGTGGAGCCTGAAGATGGGGCTGAATTGCTGCAATCTCCTGGCAAAATGGATAGGTGAAGAGTTGCTTCTCACGGATGAGCAAAGAAAGTGGTTTCTTGAAGGTGGAATCCACTCCTGGTGAAGATGCTGTGAACATTGTTGAGATGACAATAGGGGATTTAGGATATCACATAAACTTAGTTGATAAAGCAACAGCAGGGTTGGAGAGGATGGACTCCAATTGTGAAAGAAGTGCTACTGTGGGTCAAATGCTGTCAAATAGCATCACATGCTATAGAAAAACCTCTCAGGAGAGGAAGAGTCAATAGATGCAACAAACCTCATTGTTGTCTTATTTTTTTTTTTAAGAAATTGCCACAGCCACCCTAACCTTCAGCATCCACCAATCTCATCAGTTATCTGCCACCAACATAGAGGCAAGACCCTCTGCCAGCAAAAAGATTACAACTTGCTGAAGGCTCAGGTGATCATTAGCATTGTTTCCTTTTAGCAATAAAAGTATTTTAAATTCAGGTACGTATGTTTCTTTAGACATAATGCTATTGCACATGTAACAGGCTGCAGTACAGTGTGGGCATAACTTTCATGTGCACTAGGAAACCAAAAAACTTGTGTGACTTGCTTTATTGTGGTGGTCTGGAATCACACCTGCAATAGCTCCAAGGTGTGCCTGTATGAGAAAGATAAAGTTCACTCCAGGGAAATCTATTGCAATTTGCCTCAGCAGTAGTTTAAATGAGAAAAACGATGCCGTTGTCTCCATCAATGCAGAAAAGCAAGTTATAAAATTTAGCATTTATCCATGATGTAAAAAAAAAAAAAAAAATCTTAACAGACTAAGGTAGAAGAGAATATCCTTAGCATAACGAAGACAATTTATTTTAAAAATCAATCAAAACAACAGCACACCTTAAACGTAATGGTAAAACATTAAAAACAGTCTCTTGAAATCAAGGAGAACTCAGAGGACATCAGGTCTTGGCACTGCCCCGTCACGTGGCAGTGAAGACGCTGGTCGGCTCAGTGAGACAGGGAAGGAAAGAAAACTGTAGAACTGGAAAGGAAGAAACAAAACAAAAACCTTTCAGAGATGGTTTTAATTGGCTTCTTAGGAAATCCTAAGGAATACCCACAGATTAATAAAATATTTTAGGTAAGTTGCTGTATGCAAATTCAAAATGCAAAGATCAGTTACATTTCTATAATATCATCACACCAACAACAGTGAAAAACAGGCAATAAAACTAATCCCCTTTGCAATAGTACTTAGAAATAAGCGCAAAAAAAAAAAACAACAAAAAACTGAGCAAGACCTTTGTAGAGAACATTATACAATTTGCCTGGCAGACATTAAAGACATAAATAAGTGGAGACTTAGAGCATGTTTTTGAAGACATAGCCTCCAAAATATACCAATTCTCCTCCAGCTGATTGATAGGTTCCATGTTGTTCCAATCAAGTTCCAACAGTTGTTTCTGTTTTGTTTGAATTTGGTAAGCCAAAGTTTTGATTTGCTAGTTATGATATAGTAATAGTTACATACAATGGAATTTCATTTTGAAAAAGGAAAAGGTACACATTCACTGCGTGCACAATTGCTCTAGGAAAAAACCCATCTGGGCGGAGGGAGTGTTGGTCTCCCTGCTATGTAACGAATGAGCACGGGTTTCGTGGTTTAACATGCCATCTGTGGGACAGCTCCCAGCTCTGCAGGTCAGCTCCTCAGTGCCGCATGGCTGGTTCTCTGCTCAGGACACTGCAAGGCTGAAATCAAGGCAACCACTAGGTTGAGGTCTTGTCCAGAGGCTCTAGAGGAAAATCCACTTCTAAACGCATTCTTGATGGCAAGATTCAGTTCCCAGCGTTGTAGGGCTGCAGCCCCCATTTCCTTGCTGGCTGTCAGCTGGGGTCTGCTCTAAGCCCCTACCATGTTTCCCCGAAAATAAGACCTACCCACAAAATAAGCCCTAGCAGGGCTTCTAACCATTTGCGCAATAGAAGCCCTACCCCGAAAATGAGACCTAGTGGCGGGCGTGGCCACGCGGCGCATCTGCACAACCCGTGCATGTCGTCGCGGAGCGGGAAAGAAGGCGAGCAGCCCTTCTCATCTGCCCCGCGAGAGCTCTATGGCTCGACATGAGGGATTGGGGCCAATGGTTCTAAAGGAAATAGAGTCGCAAGAAATTCGGCATGGAATTCGGGGTTTGCAGAGTTATGACGATGTTCCAGAAGAAGATGACTTAACTATATTTGAATAAATGTAGATTGTTGTACCGTACTTAAAAAAAATAACACATCCCCTAGAAATAAGCCCTAGGGTGTCTTCTTGAGGAAAAATAAATATAAGACCCTGTCTTATGTTCGGGGAAACACAGTAGAAGCTGCCACATTCCGGCCATGTGGCCCATTCAAACCAGCAAGGGTACCCTGGATCCCTTCCATGCCTCTCTGTGATGGCGACCTTTTCTGTGACCATCTGGAAAAACTCTCCACCTTCGAAGGGTGAATGAGATTAGGTCAGGTGCACCTGAGTCTTGCCCCTATTCTAAGGTCAACTGATTTGGGGCCTTAATTGCATCTGCATGTCCTTTTCCCAGCAGTACCTGGATCAGTGTTCGATGGAGTAACTGGAGGAAGGCGTGTGCATGCCAGGGGCCTGGGATTTGGGGGAGGAGAAAGGGACATCTTAGAATTCTGCCAGCTGCACTGAGATTACGTGTGTGTGTGTGTGTGTGTGTGTTTTATAAGATCAAAAGAAATGTTTTTAAACTGAATGAGAAGTTACCAAAGGGAGCACGTGTCAAACACAGAGGATTTTTAGGATGGCAAAGGGACTTCATATGATGCCGTAACAGAGGGCTCATCATTACACTTTTGTCCAAACCCCTAGAACGTACAACACCCACAGTGACCCCTAATGCAAACTACGGCCTCTAGTCAACAATGATTACTGGTTCAGAAATCGTAATAAATATGCCACACTAATGCAAAGTGTTCATAAGAGGGGGAACTGGGGGGAGGTATGTGAGAACTCTGTACTTTTAGCTCAGTTTTTTTCTGCCCCAGAAAAATAAAGTCTACTAATTAATTAAAAATTAAAACAGCACAGAACTAACATTGTGTGTACATTTGGGGCCATTGCTGGGCACTAAAGACGCTTTGGGCTGCATTTCTTCAGGCACCAGCTGGATACACCATTGCAGAGCTTGGCTGGGGAGAGAGACAGTGGCCACCCTGCAGGCGGGACGAGGCTGGCGGAACAAGGCTTACGGGAAGCAGAGACAGGGGCATGGGACAGCTGAGTTGGCCAGTGGGGCTGACACAGTAGATGTGTCTTAATTTTTTTCTTGAAACCCCAATGTCCAGAGCTGTGACGTCATACTTTCTTTACCAGTGGGATCACGGTCACTTTAGTGCCCACCTGCCTGACTGCAGGAAGCTCTGTGTGTCACTGGGTTCTTCCCTGTGAAGCCACTTGCCTGTCTACAAGGCCCTTTGAGCCAGCCCTCCTGCTATGACTCCAGACTTCACCTCCTGGATTCCTGCAGAACGCCTCTGTCATTTTCCAGAACTTTCCTTCCGTCCCTTTCAGGGTTAGCTGAGACCAGGCTGTTCCTTTCAACGAGACGTTGCTGCAAGCTTTGTTCCAGCATAAGATGATGACACCAGGGGACGTCACCCTGGATGCCAGAGGCACCTGCTTGTACAGCCTCAGGCCCAAGCCCCTTTGGAGAGTTGGTGCCCGCCTGGGGCCCCTGGTCACGCCATGGCCGGCCCCGTGAAGGATGACGCAGATGACACGCGTGTGGGGCACTAAAGCACAAGCTCTGGAGAGTCTTCAGACGTGTGATTTCAGAATAAGGCCTCGAGAAGTCATCACGAGAAGGTCGGAACTTTGTTGGTCCAGGGTTGGCTCACAGCCTCTTACCTTTTAGCTTTTGATATTAAAAACTTAAGAGATTTCTGATTTCTCTTAAAAAATGAGCAGGCGCTGTGCCCCTGGAGCAGGGCGCCGGTTGTCTGGAGGTGGGCAGGGCTGCCTTTCGGAGCAGACTTGTCCTTTCCATCTCACCTCGGCTCCTCCCTGCCCCGCGGCCTTCCCGACGCCAGGCGGTTAATGCCATTTGCCACCAAAGCCTGAATTTGAGACCTGGGGCCTAGCCAGCCTCCGTCACAGGCCACGGTCTTTCCGTTGGCATAGCCCGGGATTCGTTAACGAACATCAGAGGCAAAAGTGGGGCCAAGTTCCCGCCTCCTGCAACCCGAAGAACTTCAACTTGGGCTTTCCTTTCCCATGACAGTCATTTTAATTCTCCTTCCCCAGCGTGGGGTGCGGGGAGGGGGTGGAAGATCTAGGAATCCCTTCTGGAGCAGAGGCCAGTGACAAATTTGGGACTTTAAATATTTTTTATAGATAACATTTCTGTCCTGATACCACCGTCGTGTTTTCATTTTTTAAGCGTCACTAGCGGGGCACCGGGTGTTCCCAGTTCACCAGGTCGCGCCAGTGGCCAGAGTGTTCCCCCCTTCGCTGTTTCTGCGCTCACCTCTCTGGGTGTTTCTGCGCTCACCTTTCTCTGGCCACGCATCGCACGCAGCCCCTGCCTGCCGATCCCTCAGACTCTTCTTTTATGCCCTTTTTGCCCCAGAGTTGTAGAATGTGAAATTCCTTTAATAGCCATAAAAGTAGAAAGTTGAAACTTTTCAATATCCATAAAGTACACACAGCAGTTTAAAAAAAAAGAAAAAAAGAAAAGAATGGGTGCTTTTTCTGTGTCTGTTTTGGAGTTGACTGAGAAATACAGGTTTCAATCCCGTGGAGAGCGGCCGTGTCGAGACATTTGCGGAAGGTCGGAGGCTCGTCCTCCGCCCGCGCGCGGCGGCGGGGCCGTGGGCAGCCGCGGCCAGGCCGGCCTCTCGCCCGCCCGCCCGTGTTTATTCTGGAAACAGCGCTGGGAAATGCCGCGTGCGGCTCCCCGGAGGCCTGGAGGTGGGCTGCGCGGTGCCTGACAAACGAAAACAAACCGTTCCTTTGCAACGTTTAGCAAAACTTACAAGAAAGGTCTTTCTTAGAGCTTCCAGACGGACCCGAGGGACTAGGAATCAACTTGAGCGTGTGCGGAAGGCAGAGTGCAGTGGGAGACCAAAAAAAAAAAACAACAACTGAACCCAGCTTTAGAACTGATTTAGACAGTGGAAACTTTATAGACGCAAAGTCCACTGAGACCTGGCGGTTCGAAGTGGACGCGAGCCCTTGTTTGTGGTCATCGATCCCCAGTTCGGGAGTGAAGTCGCTCCCCGGGGACGGGCTCGGCCGCTCCCTTCCCGGCATGGCCCTGACTCTCGGAACCCAGGGCGTGACTTGTGCCCAGAGCGTCACGGCCCGGCCAGCCACAAGGGGCGGGCAAACGTCTACATCTCCAGAGCGTCTCTGTGATGGCTAAGGGATGGATGTTCCGGAAAGGCTCTGTCCCCAGGATGCCTAGCATATGACCTAGGCCACGACTGTGACTTCGATGTTTCGTTCCTGGGCCCCCGATCCGTGCGAACGCAGGCCGGTCCCCTCCGGGGGCAGTGGCCGTCACAGCGGACATCTGATGCTTCTCTCCGCCGTTGTTCTGATAAATCTCGCCGTCTGCCCCACGAACCGGTTCTAAGACCTGGTGTAGGGTCTATGTGACCCGAAGGCCACCAATCGGAGTCTGTCCTCAAGATTTTTCAAGCTGGATCTGAGAGTGAAAAAAATCCACAGTCTTGGAATTGTGGGTCTGGAAACAGCCGGGGCTCCCGCCACGTGGACAGAGGGTCTGCAGGAGGGTGACATCTGTGAAGCCTCGAACTCCAGAGGCCTGCCGGACGCCACCCCCCTGCCATGGGGACACAGCCCGCCTGTTCCTGACGCGACTCCATCCCAGTTCTTCCTGCAGCGTGCTCACCTGGGCCAGGACACAGCAATTCTTTTTCTTTTCTTTCTTCTTTCTTCTTCTTCTTTTTTTTCTTTTTCTTTTCTCTTTCTTTCTTTCTCTTTCTTTCTTGTCTTTTTTTTTTTTTTTTTTGAAGAGACTGGCTGTTGCCCAGGAGTGCCGTGGCTCTCACAGCAACCTCAAACTCTGGGCTCAACAATCCTCCTGCTCAGGCCTCCCGAGTACTGGGGACTATAGGCATGCGCACATGCCCAGTATATATAATATATACTATATGATACTATATTCATATAGTATATAATGCTTAGTTTCCAGCTAATTTGAACTTCTATTTTTTTTTTTTTTAGTAGAATGTGGGTCTCACTATTGCTCAGGGCTGCTCTCGAACTCCTGAGCGCTCAAACGGTCCACCTGCCTCGGCCTCCCAGAGTGCTAGGATTACAGGCATGAGCCACCCCGCCTGGCCAGGACACAGCAATTCTTGCCTTAGCTGGTTTGAATCCAGCGCGCATCACTTACGATGGAAAGAGTCTTAAATATACCACAAACACGTCACTAGGAAAGCAGATGAGACTCTGTTGTGGTCTGACAGCAGTCAAACTGTAATGTGGATAAGAATGATTTGAAATTCGAGAGTGCACACCTTTGGTCTGTGTGCAGTTTATTTTAGCTTTTTGTTGTTGTTGTTGTTGTTAACATAGTCACGCTCTTTCCAAAATACAAAATTCTCTCTTAAAATGTAGCAATATTACAGTCATGCATGTTAGCATTTATTGAGTGTTTCCTATGTGCCAGGTACAACATTATTTGTAGTAACTCTTTTTATCCTCACAAAAACCTGTGAAATGCGTATTGTTTTTATACTTCTCCCCATTTTGTGGATGTGGAAACTGAGGCATAGAGAGATCAGTTTCCCCAGGCTCGCAGCCGGGCAGTGGTGGAGCTGGGAATCCAAGCACGCCAAGGTCAGGGACTGACTGGGCTTTTAATATAGAAATATTTAGAGAAATGTTGAAAACCATTAACTCTGTTTCATTATGGCAATCTTGTTTATAATGGAATTATACATTTTAAACTTTTCAAAATAATTTTTTCTATTAATGGGGTTTGGGACATACCATGCCAAAATATGCCGCTTTAGTATATTGATTATTTTGAGCTGAAGGCACCTGAAAACAGTAAATGCAGAGAGGTTTTCTCTGAATTCCCCTTACCTGCCTAGAGACAGAGACTCCAAAGGAACCGGGTTGTTATGAATCCCTTCCCTGGGAGTTCCATCAACCAGGGAAAATCACCCTGACACCCTGACACGTGTCGTCACTAGCCATCGTGTCTCTCGCCTGCGCTTCTAGGGGCCCATTCCTCTCCTCTGGGTGGCCTGCGTCTCCCTTCCCTATTAAGATGGTATTCACTTTTTTGGGAGTATTCATCCTTCCCCCCTGTAATGCCCCGTGCACATAATACTAAAAATAAATAAATTTGCATACCCTGTCTCCTGTTACCCTGCCCATTGTCAGTGTATTGCATAGACCCAGCTCCCGAACCTAGGGGGGGTCAAGTCTTTCCTCCCCTCCACTATGTTTCAAGCCAATGAAAAAAGTGTAAAATGCCCCAAAAGCTATTTTACTCTATGACTTGAATTTACATAGTAGGAGACTCCGGCCCAGGAAGGTTCTACTCTGATTTTCGGCGACCAGAGCCGGGACTAGAATCCACACCTCTCGTTTCTATCCCAGCCGAACCATTCCATGGGTGGGTCATCTTCAAGCAAAGTTTGGTTGAAACCCCAGGTTGTGATCTGGAGTCTTTAGCTGAGTCTATTTCCTACCTGTCACCGTTTCCTTTTTGAGCAACTAGAAGAACAACCCGGTCATCGTTAGTGTTGACCAGAGGGGAAGGGGGAACCAAAAACCCTTCACCCCTCATTTCCTGTTAGATTGTGCAACAGAAAGGCAAACATTTAAGGGAATGTGGCAGCTCAGAACAATCGTCCCCATTGTGGCCTGAATGCCGTTTTCTTTTCCTTTTCACACTAACTCTGTCCGGAGGAGAGGCTGGACAAAAGAAAAAGGCGGCCCTGCCGTGGAAGAGGGAAGCACGGCAGAGGTCTGCTCCGGGGCAGTGTGGGGACATTTTTGAAGCCAGGGCTGAAGTGTCCTTGGGTCACTCAGAATCCTTTCGTTGAAGGAAGTCATTGTTACAACTTCAGAAGCCCCAGGGTTCTTCTGGAGTTTGAGAAGGGATGAAGGATTTGCATAACTTCATCACCCTGTTTATTAAGAGTCTGGGACTCGGTGACTGGGCTGGTCCTTGACCCTTTGCTCAGTAGCCTTGGCAAGTGCTCTCATTTTCTTCCTTTTTAGGTTTCCCCATCGCGAGCCCTTCAGAGAACAATGTCGTGTTGATCCATGGCAGTGACTCACGCCAGGTCTGCCCGGGCCCCAGGGTCGGTAGCAAAACCCCGTGGCAGGTCCCTGCAGGAGCGCAAGGAGCTCATTGCAATCGAGGGACAGGCCGATCTGCAGCTGTGTCGTCGGTCTTGCCCTTGTAGCGACTTGATTAGAAATATTCCAGGACTACAGGAAGAGACTTCTTTGGGGCCAGGCTGACCTGCTCTTTCCTTCATTCCGTGAGTCTGCCGTGTCCATTCCAGTCTCTTCATTCAGAGACTGTCGTGTCCCTGGAAGTGCGTCCACCTCCAGGAACGCAGCAGTGACCAAGTCAGACCAATGTCCCTGACCTCATGGACTTGGTGAGTGACCGGGCAGTTACAGCGAGTGTGTCACACATACGTGCTGTGATGGGCAGAGTGGCTCACGGGAAAACGCCTGAGAAGGGCCTCTGGCCGGAACCCGACATCAGGACAGGTGGCATGGACAGGTGCAGGACAGGTGGCACGCACAGGCCGTCTAGGCCAGAGGAGGCCTCCCACCTCCGTCTGTCTCTGCCTAGACTGACTTCTCTGAGGTTCGTGAACAAACCCCTTTAAGCCATATATTTCTTAAAAAATATGATGCTTTATTTATTTAAATGTTTTAAATATTTTGACTAGCAACCACAAACCTATAGGAAAGTTACGAGTACAGTGCAGCCTTTTTCTCCTGAGCCATTTAAGAGTCACTTGCCAACCTGATGGCCCGTCCAGCCTGACCACAAACAGGGACATTCTCCTATGTTACTGCCATATAACCACCTATGTCAGGAAGCAAGCGGAGACTCACTGCCACCGCTGGACCCTCCGACCCTACTCAGGTTTTGCCAGTTGAACCAGTGACGTCCTCCTCGGAGAAGGGACCACCCAGTTCGTTGCGTTTCGTCTTTAGTGGTGACCTTTGTGACCTGGCCACGTTGGAAGCTAACAGGACTGCTGCTGTGTCTGACCTTTCCCCAGGGCCAGAGCCCGGCCAGGTGTCCTCAGCAGGGGCAGTTCACAGGTGGCGCGCTGTCCTCCTGGGCACGCTGGGACTCGGGCACAGGGTTCTGATCCTCTATGTTCCTGACCACTTGGCAAAGCAGTGTCTGTGTGTGTGGGGGGACTCTTCACCTGAAGTCACTCTTCCCCACCCCCACCCCGTACGGAACACCCCTTTCCTCCTCACGCGGGGATCTTACCCGGTGTGGAGTCGCGGTTCTCTGTTTTATCCTGGTCCCACATCTGGTGGCCCTTCCGGCTGACTTCTGCGCCCTTCTGGTGCGTCTCCACCGTTCTTTGAGCGCTGCTTCTCTCCTGACCGGGACACACGTTCTAGGCTCCTCCCGAGCGCAGCGGGTCCAGCCCGGGACCGGCCGTTTCCCAGAAGAGCGCGTGGTGGCGGCTGCCGTTTAGAAACCGAGACCTGGGCACGAGGAGCGCCCGTGAGCGTTGCTGTCCCGGGGCCTCTTGGCAGCTGGGGCTAGAAAGCAGGCACGCCTGCCGAGACACCCGGTGACTTCTGTGCCTGTTCTTACCGAAGTCCTTGCGCCCACGCCGAGGCCTGCGGCTCCAGCGCAGCGCCACAGGGCCCAGCCTCATCTTCTCCCTCCCCCACCCGCGTCTCCCTCCCCAGCAGCGACACCCTGGCTCCCTTGCGCCAAATATGCTGAGTTATTTGCTCAGTGCCCCACAGATAGTCAGTCCCCGCCACCCACCACCTCACACCACACGGGGACACTCCTCGCCCTGCTCGAACCCTGACACCCCTCAGGGCTCTTCCCCTTGGGAGGACACCTTCCTTGTCCCGGGCCGGAGCTCCCCTGCAAGGACGGCCTCCTCCCGTCGCTCGACTCCCCTCCCCCCGCCTGGGCCCCCCGAGTCTGAGTCCGGGCCTCTCTCTTGCCTGGATGCCTTCCGGGGCCTGCTCGGCTCTGACCCCCACGCTGACTGCCCCCTCCCCCTCAAGCCTGGGTGCCCTTCCCGTGTTTGGACCTTGTCACCTCGCACCAGGCCTTCCGCTGCCTGCCTCACCTCCCCGGGCTCGGCCCCCCATGCTGGGTGCTTCTCTCCTCGGACACTGCTGTGGACTGGATGCTTGTGTGCCCCCCAGATTCATATGTTGAAGTCCCAACCCTGCAAGGGATGGTTTTAGCAGGCGGGGCCTTTGGGGAGTGACTAGGGCATGGGGGTGGAGCCCTCAGAAGTGGGATCAGTGCCCTCACGGAAGGGACCGAAGAGAGACCGCTCACCCCTTCCACCACGTGGGGACGTGGTTGTCTGTGAGTCAGGAAGGAGCCCTCCCCGGACACTGAGTCTGCAGGGCCTTGACTTTGGACTTCTAGCCTGCAGAACAGAGAGAAATAAATGCCTTGATAACCACCTGGTTTGTAGAGAGCAGCCTGGACAGACTGTGAGACAGTCGCCTACCCTGCTCCGTGATCCTTGATGCCTTGAGGACTGGATTGTTCAGGAAGGAGCAGAAAATAAACGGAAGAATCAAGGGAACGGGAGCAAGAAGGAGGACGGGAAGGGCCATTTATGCTCCTCAGCTTGTCTTTTGCGTTCACACCTTTGAAGTGCCACCTCACCTGTCCTCACATCGGCCCTCGCGTTCACGTCGCCCAGGTGCTCCCGGCTCAGCCGCCTCTGCCCCAGGCCCTCTCACCTGTCCACACCTCTGTTCTGCCGTCTCCCCTGTCCAGATCCAACAATCCGCCCATCCTGTGTTCCACCGTCTTGGAACTGGCTCCGAGCGAGCAGGTCCGGCCCGCCCCGTCTGTCAGCCTCGCCGAGAACCAGTTACCCGGAAAGAACGAAGAAGTTCAGCTTCTCTCCTGAGCATCACAAAGAACACGGGCACAGGACACCTGCTATCTCGGGCGTGACTCCGTGCGATCATGAGATCTTCTCTCTGAGAGGGCAAAGAGAGAAACATATCCTTTTAGGGTTTTGTCTAGTTTTAAGAATGAGAATTAGGCCGGGTGCGGTGGCTCACGCCTGTAATCCTAGCACTCTGGGAGGCCGAGGCGGGCGGATCGCTCGAGGTCAGGAGTTCAAAACCAGCCTGAGCAAGAGCGAGACCCCGTCTCTACTATAAATAGAAAGAAATTAATTGGCCAACTGATATATATAGAAAAAATTAGCCGGGCATGGTGGCGCATGCCTGTAGTCCCAGCTACTCGGGAGGCTGAGGCAGAAGGATCTCTTGAGCCCAGGAGTTTGAGGTTGCTGTGAGCTAGGCTGATGCCACGGCACTCACTCTAGCCTGGGCAACAAAGCGAGACTCTGTCTCAAAAAAAAAAGAAGAATGAGAATTACCAGAGTATTTATCTTTTATTCAGATAATTTTATCATTTAAATAAGTCTGGATATTTATTTCCTCCGTATTACATAAATTCAACATTCCTAAAACTAATTTAAGAATGTTACAAAAATACAACTAAATGAATACTAAGAATTATGAGTGGCTTTAAAAGTATAAGTGTACTCTTAAAGTCAAGTGTAATGTTTCACAAGGAAATTTGAACCAGGATTGTTTGGTCCCACTAGAATTAGTTCACAAATGAACAAAAAGGAAAACAAAAAACCCTCGGGAGGGTCGCTTGAGGCAAGGAGTTCAAGACAAGCCTGCGCAAAATAGTGAGACCTTGTCTTTAAAATAAATAAATAAAATTGAAAATAAAATAAAATAATGGTTTAACACTCTCAAACACATTGCTAGTATATTTTAGCACCTAAAAATACCATGGTGTTACGGGGCTTGAGGAAACAACAGGGGGCATTGTATACGTTCACTGTGTTGATCGTGGTGGATGGTTTTCTGGGTGTGTCCATATGTCAAAACCTATCTACCTGCTCTTAAATGCTTATTTTATGTCTTACTTGCTCTGAAATGCTTATTTTGTATCTGTTTTATTTTATGTCTCAGTAAAGCTGTTTTAAAAAAAAACTTCTGTGCTGTAGAAGAATGCTAACACCACTGCTACAGTTGCTAACTGTGTCGAATGCAAACAGGTCAACCTGTCATTGGGCTTTCCATGATTAGGGGCATGATTAGGGCAGGGGCTGGTAACTCGTTTCTTACTGCAATTGGCAGGAAGGTTGTGGGTGGCTTCAAGGATCGTAACTGCCTTCGATGAAGTTGTTTCACCTGCACTTTGCATGCAGGTGTCAGGGAGGAAAAACTTTGCCTCTACTCTCTTAGGTTGTGTGCTCAGGGGCCTGAGAATTAAACTAACAAAAGACAGATCAGCAGAAAAGGCACATGATTTTTATTAGCATTTACCTGCATGGAGTTCCCAGGAAAAAAAATGAAACTCAAAGACATGGTTAGGCTCAGGGATTTATATACTATTTTAACAAAGCCTTTTGCTTTTAAAACACTAGGCAGTGTTTTCCCCTTGAGTTTGTTTCTCTGTCAGGTTGACATTGTTTCTGACTTACCAACTTTGTACATTTTTATGAACACGGATAACTTGTTTTTTCCAATACAAAATATTTTCTTCTGTTTAATATCATCCGTTATAACATCTCTCCTCTTTTTTTTTTTTTTTAAAAACCTTTTAAATAACCCCTTAAAAAAAAAAAAACCAAGAACAAAAAAGAAGGGATTTGACTTAGAAACCTCAAAAGCTGTGGCCACCAGCCGAGATCCTAAAGTGACCCACACATAGAGCTGGGGCGGAATGAAATAAAACAAACCCCTTTCCAAGAAGTTTATCCTTGGAGAAGAACATTTGTGGATAAAACTGTGGGCCTGTTGCCATCCTCCACCCTCCTGTTTGGGTTGGCCCGGGTCCCGCACCCTGTCACCTTCTCTCTTAACCAAAACAATGCCTGAGCTCATGAAGATTTTTACATTCTTCCTAAAAAGGAAGTTTTACATCTCAATTAGTATTTAAAGTTTCAATTTAGAAGGTACCTTCTGAAAAGCACATACTTAGGTCTAAAACCCTGCCCTCCAAATACCACTTAAAAGAATCCAGTAGCCTGCACAAATCTCAGACGTCCAGGGTCACAGATTTTGTTTTTAGCCTTGTTTGTAAGAACAAGGCTAGCTCACGCACGTTCAAGCGTATTACTCCAGTTAAAAGTAATAGTAAGGCTTCCTTGCTGTTCCTTTTTCTCCTGCGGTGTGTGTCTATTAATCAGCCCCCTGCCACGCTTATGGTTCCTCCCTCTCTTAACCCACAGCCTCAAGAAGAATTGAAGAATTTCCCAGTTATGCGATTTTGCCTGTGACTTTGCCTGATGCTAGTCTGGGACTGGTGGAAGCGGGGAGAGGGGGGGTCTTCAGGTCCTGTTCTGTTTCCTTAGCTCCCCGCCTCATTTTATCGTGAATATTTCCAAACATGCCAGAAGCACGAAGCAAATAGAACAGGGAGCCCATCGTCCAACTTTCACGATCATTACCACTTTTCCATGTTGTTGCATTTATTCTTCCACACCCCAACCTTTTTTTTTTTTTAAGTATTTTTAAGCAAATCCTAGACACAACATAATTTTACCCATAAATACTTCAGTATGTACCTACAACAGATGAGGGCTTTTTTTCCCCCTTATATAGATGCAACAGCATTATGAAACTGATGCAATAAACAAGGATCCTTTAATAGTGATGGCTTCGGTAATAGTGGCCCACAGCCAAGCATCTGGAGGTTGGCTCAGGGCTGCTGCTGGTTAGCAGAGCTGGTGGTCAGGGGTGGCTGGGGACGGGGCGAGGGAGGACACACTGGAATTCACGGACACCTGTGTGTGTGTCCTGCGTCGGATCAGAACAACCTTCGACAGTCACGGCTGGCGCCTTACTCGGCCCCCAGATCTCGAGAGAGTCCCTCTCCCCCAGAACTGCACAGAGAAAGGGATCTGGGGAAATCTAGCCCCAGCTTCGCCGTGATGACACAATACAAGCCATCACGGCCTTTCCAGCCCCACATGTTCAAATTTCCCCGAGTTTCTCAATAATGGGTTTTTACCGTTGGTTTGTTCAGACTGGGGTCCAAACCAGATGCTCGCGTTGCTGGTGACTGTTCCGTCTCTTTTCATCTGTAACAGTCCCCCTCCCTCTCTTTTCCCATGACATGAGTTGCTGGACCTGCGGTGTCTGCCCTGTAGAAGTTCCCCACATCCTGAAGCTGGCCAATTCCATCCTCCTGGTGGCAGGAGAGCCAGCTCTAGAGGCTTGCTGAGGCTCCAGGTTTTGTGCTGTTGTTTTGTTTCGTTTGGGTGATAATACCTGAGGTTCCTTCTCTTTCTGACTCCTTTTGGGCTCCTGAATTGTCCCCACATCTTACACGGCTCCCTGGCCTTCGGCGCAGCTCTCTACTTAATCACCGGGCCTGAGTGTCCCACGGAGGGGACTGTGGGCAAATGCCCCTGGTGTCATTGCTCCAACCACCGCCAGCCGCGTGCCATGGGCCAGGCTGTCTCCACCGCA